TGATCGTATCCAATACCTATGATCATCTATGTGATCATCAATCACACATCAGTGGACACTATCAGAATAATATCGTCCACATATAGGAGAAGATACGCCGTGCCTTTTATGTTGTGCATGATGAAGAGTGAGGTGTCGCATTTGCTATGATGGAAACCAATCTTCCGAGCAAAGTCTGCGAAGCGATGGAACCAAGCTCTTGGGGCCTGCTTTAAACCATAGAGGGACCGACGGAGGAGACACACATGATCCGGTTTCTCACGATTCGTAAACCCCGGTGGTTGATGCATGTACACCGTGTCATGTAGATTTCCATGGAGAAATGCATTTTTGACATCTAGTTGATGCATCGGCCACTGTCGAGACAAAGCAATGGTGAGGACGACTCGTATTGTAGCCGGTTTAACCACGGGGCTGAAAGTGTCTCCAAAATCAAGGCCCGGTTGTTGTGACTTGCCATTCGCCACGAGACGTGCCTTGTAGCGTGCATGTGTTCCATCCGCATTGAACTTATGCCTGAAAAGCTATATAGAACGAACCACATTAACCCCGGGGGGTCGAGGAACCAAGTCCCACGTCCCATTTTTAATAAGAGCATCATACTCCTCATACATTGCCGCACGCCAATGGTGATTCTTTAAAGCAAAGAGATGGGATTTTGGTAGGGGGGAGATATGGTCTGTTACTAGAGATAGAACCTGTTTTCTTTTTGTGATTCCCGATTTGCTTCGGGTTGTCATTGTGTGTGGGACAAGGGTAGATGTCGGAGCAATGTTCGGGACTGTGGTATTGGTGTTTGTGGTTGAGGTTGTCGTCGGTGGTAATGTGGTGGTATTTGTGCGAGGACTGGTGATGGTCGTCGTCATTGAGTCTATGGGCAACTCTCTTAGTGTTCGAAAGAAAGAATTTGTTTCGGTGTCTTTATCAAGAAAATCATAGGAAGTTGGTGAGTGTGTCGTGAAAGTGGAGAAAGGAAACGTGTTCTCGTCGAAATAGACATGACGAGAAATGATGATTTTTCGGGTGGCGATATCAAAACATCTATAACCCCGATGGTGAGAGGGGTAGCCGAGAAAGACACACGGGGTTGATCTAGGCGAGAGTTTGTGAGGTGTTGTGGGTAGAAGATTTGGATAACATAAACACCCAAAAATACGTAGGTGAGACAGTGATATTGGGTTGTGGAATAGTTTTGTGTATGGGCTTTCATTGGCTATGGATGTCGAAGGTAAGAGATTCAAGAGATGCGCACTCATGTGCAAAGCTTCCACCCAAAAGTTTGCAGGAAGGTTTGCTTGGATTAGAAGAGTGCGAATGAGGTTGTTTATGGTTCGAATAATTCTCTCGGCTTTTCCATTTTGTTGAGAAGTGTGAGGGCAAGAAAATCGAACTAGTATCCCATGTTCGTCAAAAAAATTGTGAAAGAGTTTATTATCAAATTCTCCCCCATGATCACATTGAAAAGATTTGATGTTGGTTTGAAAATGGTTTTGAACGTAAGAGTGGAAGTGGAGGAATTTGGAGAAAACATCACTTTTCCGACGAAATTGTGTAAAATGGTCAAGGAAGACAACATAATATGATAAACCACTAACACTCGAGATAGGAGATGTCCATACATCCGAATGGATTATTTGAAAAGGTTCCGAAACTAATGAAGAAGAACGGAAAAAAGGAAGTCGAACACTCTTGCCCAAATGACATGCTTCACAAGTAGAAGACATATCGGGCTTATTACATTTAAGAAAACCATGTGAAATCAAATGTTGTAAAACCGAGTTGCCCGTGTGACCCAATCGACGATGCCATATGGTGGTGGATGGTGTGAGCAATGCAACAGGAGCGTGTGTGACGGTGTTGGTTGGTTCGGTGATTGGGTAGAGGGGGCCAGAGCTATCACATCGGAGAAGAGTCCGTTGGGTTGGAAGATCCTTAACAGAAAAACCAAGAGGATCAAATTCAATAGAGCAATTATTGTCGGTAGTGAATTGTCTAACAGAAACAAGGTTCTTAATAATGGAGGGTGTGACAAGAACATTGCGTAATGCAAGGTTTCTTGAGGCAGAAGAAATCATGGTATGGCCAGTTTTGTGGGTGGTGATTAAAGAACCATCACCAACGGTGACTAAAGGAGGGATGCTCGAATTAAAAACGGTGCGTAGGTTACTTGGATGATTCGTGAGGTGAGTCGTCGCGTCGCTGTCCATGTACCAAGAATTGTCGGCAGGGTTTTGTAATGTCATGGTGTTGAACGCGTGTGCCAAGGCTGTTGCCGGTTCGGCATTGGCCGGAGGAGAAGCAGATGATGACCATTGAGATGAAGGAGCACGGGCAGGAATTTGTTGACCCGGATTTGGTCCAAGGAGACCCAGAGCATATGCTGGATGAGACCATGGGTTAGGCCAGAACTGTGGCTAGTTGTTATTCCATGTCGAGCCATTTTTGTGATTGTTATAGTTGTGGAATCTGCGTCCACGAGACTGACGACCCCTGCGGCCTCCATGACGACCATCTCGATGATGATGAGGTCGAGGAGAGGAGAACCATGACGGTGGAGAACGCGGAGGTGGTGTAGGTGCCGTGTAGAGAACAGTTGGTAAAGATGAATGATCGGCGTGGGAAGGTTGATGACGGATGGCCTTAGAGAGGCGTTGCTCTTCAAGTGTGAGCATTGATCTTGCATCTTCAAACGACGGGAAAGGGGACTTGTGTTTGATGACATTAACAATGTTGTCGAATTTCTCATTGAGCCCGTTGAGTAAGTGCATGACTAGGGCTCAGTCGGAAAGTTCGGCATCAATGTTTGATAGGAAGTCCGAAAGTTTCTTCAATTTGTGGCAGTATTCTTGAACATTAGATCTCCAATGGTGAGAGTGTGAAGTTCATGTTCAAGTTGTATTGCTCTGGCCTCCTTGTTGTCTCGAAACTGATATATAAAGACTAGTATGATATGTGATTGATGATCATATAAATGATCATAGGTATTAGATACAATCACGATCATAGGTATTTGTTGGAGAACGGAATACTGGATTGACCCGCGTGAGATTGTCACATGGACTAGCGCCATGACTTGAATCTCATATGGCGGTTCCGTGATTGGATCCTAAGATCTGAGATATCTACGGAATCCAACATGAGGAGTTGCGTACTTTGATTACGTCAAACGTCCTGCGTAACAGGAGGACTATAAAGGCGTGTATCAGGTACGAAACGAATCATGTGCTGGATTGTAGATAGTCAAGACGGGATTTGTACCTCTCGTAAAAGAGAGAGATATCGCTGGGCCCCTCGTGTGAGCGAGACTATAGAAATGTGTTGCCGCACTATAGACGAGCGTCGTCTATTTCAGACAGTTGAACTCAGTGAACGAGAAAGCAGTCGAATCAGATAAGGTGGCTTGTCCATGCCTTATGTTCGACATATGCATCTTACAATCCCCTCTCTCAATTAGCTAGGTGTATTGTTCCATAAAGGGTATAATAATGCTATACTATTCTTTTTGTTGTGTGTGGATATGTACCAAGATGGGTCCGAATGTGGGTGAGGACACTTTGTGACTTCTCACCTTATTATTCTGCCATCTGGCGCTTGGATGATATTTTTAGTTTTAATTTACGCTTTTTCTTTTTTCTTAAACTTATCTCAATGTTAGTTTGCTGTGGTTTATCTCATTGTATCATGGAATAGCTCTTACTTTCTAAACATTTTTTATAAAATGAAATTGTCATTTCATAGAGTTTTAGTACATTTTTATATATTTTTTCTTCCCAGCCGTATTATTTTTTTCTCAAGTAAATAATGCATTGTCAAATTTCATAGATTTAAGAATTATTGCACATATTAGAAATATTATTTTTCTCGCGATAATTTTGATTTGTAAAATTTTTAATTTAATTATTTCACTCCATTTTGGTAATAGTATATATTTTAATGTTATGTCTTTTGATTTTTTTAACTTCCAAAACATTAATTTCAGATCATTTTTATGAATTTGGATCATTCTTGTCTATAAAATTTAGTCGAATATTGCAAAAAAATAAAAATAAAAACTTTTTAAATTTGACAAATAAATACACCAATTTCTAATTTTGTATCAAATACATAAATTTTAAATTTTTTTACGTAAATCCATAAAAACATTAAACTCAATTGATTTTTTGTGTGAATGTGTATGAAAATATTCAAAATTTATGTATTTTTATACAAATTTATGTGAGTTTACACAAAACATTTTAAAATTTATGTATTTTTATATAAAAATAAAAGTTAATGTATTTATTTACCAAATTTAAAAATTTTATGTTTTTTTATTTGAAAAAATTCTAAAAAAAACTACAATATTGATAAAAAACATTGAAAATTTGTTTTTATCAAATAAAATTAAACTTTTTAAATGAGTTTTAAAAAAAATTAATTTTTTAAGTGATCTAAAAAATACATAAACTTTTATGTGATTGTAAAAAAAAATTCTAAATTTTTTAAATGATTCAAAAACATATGAACTATATATAATTGTAAAAAAACAATTATAATAATTTGATGTGTTTGAATTTTTTTATGTCACGCTTAACTCATTTGTTTATTTTGATAATCGTAAAAGAGTTAAAGTATTTTTTAATAAATTTAAAAAGTTTAATATTTATTTGATAAATTTAAAAGTTAATTTTTTTTCAAAATTAAAAAATTCAATATTTGTTTTGGAATTTTCCTTTTTGACCTTATTTCATGGAAAAAAAATAAAGATGTTAACGGTTGGAAACATAAAAGGAGTGACCATCATAATGCATAAAGTAAAAATGATAAAAAGATGTCTCTCCTTGACGTTACATAGGGAATGTGGGATCATCATAAATCACTCTATTCTTTGTCTCTCTTTCCAGCAAATGTTTGGTCTTTTTCATCTCTCTTTCACTTTCCAGTTTCCAGTTGATTCAATAATCATTTTATAAAAAAGATTCTGAATAAAAATTTCACTCGCTCTTCTATTATTTGCTTAGTGCATGCATTTCTCAGTAAACCCTTCTCTTATTTTTTTTCGTTTCGCTTTTCCAGCCTTTTTTCTTGGTAGATTACATTATTTGATTGCGATAACTAACCTTTAATCACCACTATTAATTGATTAGCAACGCTCGAAAACCAGCTGAACCTTTTTTCAACGTTTACACACTCTTTTCTCTCTTCATCCGAGTCACTGTTTTCACACTCTCATCTCTCTCTCTCTCTCCAATCTCTGCCGCAATCAACTCTTCGATTTTCTCAAGGAATTGTAGATCTCTCTCCTTCTTCCGGAATTCCACATTTTTCTTCTCTGTTCCTCGAATCTATGGTGGTTTACCTTGCATTCCTGGTTGCTTGTTCCTGCTTCTTCGGTGGCGAAGTGGGTGCTCTGAACGACGAAGGGTATGCCCTTCTAACTTTCAAACAATCTGTTCTCAGAGACCCGTTTGGGTCTTTAAGTAATTGGAACTCCTCCGACCCGAATCCTTGTTCTTGGAACGGAGTTACATGCGACGAACAAAGGGTTGTGTCTGTGAGCATCCCCAGGAAGAAACTCGTAGGTTTTCTTCCTTCGTCCCTGGGTTTACTCCTTTATCTTCGCCATCTGAATTTGAGGAGTAATGATCTTAATGGGAGCTTTCCCGTTGAGCTGTTTGAGGCTCGAAGGCTGCAAAGTCTGGTGCTTTATGGAAATTCGTTATCTGGGTCGATTCCAAATGAGATTGGGAAGCTCAATTCCCTGCAAAGCTTAGACTTGTCGCGTAATTTCTTGAATGGATCGATCCCAGAGTCGATTTTACAGTGTAAGAGGCTTAGGCACTTTGATTTGAGCCGGAATGCTCTCACCGGTGCTCTTCCCGATGGGTTTGGTCATGCTTTGGCTTCTTTAGGGAAGCTTGACCTCTCATTCAATCAGTTCAATGGCCTAATTCCTAGTGATTTGGGCAACTTGACGAATCTGGAGGGAACTCTTGATTTGTCTCATAACTCATTTAGTGGCTCCATCCCGGCTAGTCTGGGAAATTTGCCTGAGAAAGTGTACATTGATCTTGCTTACAACAATCTGAGTGGACCAATCCCTCAAACTGGTGCTCTGGTAAACAGAGGACCAACTGCATTCATGGGGAACCCGAGGTTATGTGGCCCGCCATTGAAGTACCCTTGCTTGCCAAACTCGGGAAGTTCTCCATCTTCTTATCCTTTTCGTCCCCCAAACCACGATCATGGAGGTTTAGATGATAATGGTGAAGGGTCTAAGAAAGGAAGAGGTCTAAGTAAGGGTGCCATTGTCGCAATTGTGGTTTGTGATGTCATTGGTATCTGCCTTGTGGGATTGCTTTTCTCTTATTGTTACTCGAAGATCAGTTCGAGCTGTAATAATGTGGATGAGAAAGGCAAGGAAGGTAAAGAAGGTTCCTTCTGTTTCAGAGTAGAAGGATCAGAGACCCCTTCGGAAAATCTGGAGCTACATGATCTTGTTCTGTTGGATAAACATGTAGCTTTCGATCTGGACGAGTTGCTCAAGGCCTCGGCTTTTGTTCTTGGGAAGAGCAAGAGTGAAAGTGGAGGAATTTGGAGAAAACATCACTTTTCCGACGAAGCGGATAAACCCAAAGAAATTGTGTAAAATGATCAAGGAAGACAACATAATATGATAAACCACTAACACTCGAGATAGGAGATGTCCATACATCCGAATGGATTATTTGAAAAGGTTCCGAAACTAATGAAGAAGAACGGAAAAAAGGAAGTCGAACACTCTTTGGTCGATAGATCGATCGATCGATACCATTGCTATGTCCTACCGTTGGATCCCTGCCAAATGCGACTCATGTGGAGAATTTGGCCATATCATGATGCATTGTCTCAGATCAATGGTTTCTGATATTTTGACCTAGTCTGAGTGTCCACCATCACCATCTTCCACTCCAAATCACCCAACCTCTTACGCCCCAAATCCAACAGCCTCCATCAAGATCTCAAAATCAATACTCCACTCCCCTCTTCCCCAAACACTACCCATCACTCAACTTTGGACTCCTTACCATCTCAACCCCCCTATTGGAGACCAAACAACCTACTTTTTATCCACCACCGATACCTGTTGGTTTAGTGTTCTATGATGTACCGCTGCATGAGCTTTATTTGGATACATTTGATGTATTTACACCTTCTATGAGTTTATGGATGAGTGTGTTATTCATTACATGTTTTGGTATGCTTGATGTGTTATGATATCCATGTATTGCTGTGAACAATACTAAACTCCCTAGTCATGTATCATTGTGGGAATAATGATATATAAAGACTAGTATGATATGTGATTGATGATCATATAAATGATCATAGGTATTAGGTCACGATCATAGGTATTCGTTGGAGAACGGAATACTGGATTGACCTGCGTGAGATTGTCACATGGACTAGCGTCATGACTTGAATCTCATATGGCGGTTCCGTGATTGGATCCTAAGACCTGGGATATCTACGGAATCCAACATGAGGAGTTGCGTACTTTGATTACGTCAAACGTCTTGCGTAACAGGAGGACTATAAAGGCGTGTATCAGGTACGAAACGAATCATGTGATGGATTGTAGATAGTCAAGACGGGATTTGTACCTCTCGTAAAAGAGAGAGATATCGTTGGGCCCCTCGTGTGAGCGAGACTATAGAAATGTGTGGCCGCACTATAGACGAGCGTCGTCTATTTCAGACAGTCGAACTCAGTGAACGAGAAAGCAGTCGAATCTAATAAGGTGGCTTGTCCATGCCTTATGTTCAACATACGATATCGCGATACAAAAGGATCATCAACCGGAATCATCACTAGCGTTCGTAAGATCACGAACAAACTCTATTCGAGATAGGTAGTCATAGTGTCTTGCTAGAGACCGCCTATGACTTGTATATCCGGAATAGAGATTTCGGATTATACTGCTATATCGAATGAGCCTACAGGGTCACACACGCAGGGAAGGACGAAACGCATGAGAAAACGACCGAAAAACCAAGACGGAAGGGTCTGGAACGGACGGAC